GACAACGAAACATCTAAACCGCTCTAAAGTAAACAGTTATGAGCGTGGTAGAAGCCAAAAACTAAGCACGGAAGGTTATCACAAGCTGAAACACAAAAATAAACCAGCAGAGAGCCAAGTTCGGGGAGCTTGCAGCGCTCCACGGCCAAAAGCATGACCGAGGGCGAAGTGAGCCAGTCAATAGTTGTGTGCCTTGAATACGTCTTGCTGCAAATTTTGCACGGATATGGTAGATGCGCTGTGTAAAACCGCTCCGCTCAAATGTGTTTGATTCGTTGTTCTTAAAAGCTTTTGATTCTATAAGTGGCCTAAATGTATAAACGCGGTTTCCAGCGGTTATTGGACTGTTAATTCTTATCCTGCAACGAGCTCAACAAAACTGCTAAAAGCAATTGCTGTTCATTAGATGGACTGGCATGTACTATAAGTGGATACGAACTTTTACAAAAAAGAGGCTGCGCTTTTTACTTATCTTTAGCTTCAATGCCACATCTGAATGACCCACAGTGTTTTCCCGGGACCACACCTCTTTGTACTTAAAACATTGACCCCTTTCTTATCCCATTCAGTCAAAATTGGCCATGTACAAGGTAAACGATTTTCTAAATGCGCTAAATAGGTTCGCACAATTTTGACAGTTAACAAAACATATACGACACGCGTTTAATGTCGTTTATTTTAAACTCGGGTGATTAAACCGCGACAAATGTCTACTCAAAAAAACGTGAGAACGTGTTCAACAAATGTTGAAAAAGGATCATCAAATAAATCATCCTAGATACAAAGAGAGAGGCTAATGATTATAAGTAACGAACACGCATATCAATTACGACAAAGTATATATTCGCTTACTGGCTTTACGACTCCTGCAGCAGCAATCGTTTTTACCCATAGTGAAGATCTTTTTTCGCGAAGGCTTTGTTGCATCTAGCACTAAATATTATTTCTTGGCATTTCGCGACATACTTCTTTCTTTAGCAAGCACTTGAAACGTAGATCGATCGCAATTCGAGTGGCAAAATGAACGCTTTGGCTAACGTTTATGAAGCCTTCAAACGCATTCCGCATCTTTCATGTAAATTGCTCAGTAGCGTTTCCATCCGCGATATCGGGTTGATTATAATGATACAGCTATAATCCGACATCGCGATAGCATCAAAAATCACGATGGACTCAGCATCCCGCTTAATATTAAAGCAGCAATTCCTGTGCCTGTCAACTGTACGAACTGCAGAGACTCCATTGCAAGGTATGCAAAAAACGATGAAGGATTGCGCTGTTTGAATTGTTGAAAGATTGGTACATTTGTTGTAGGCGAGCTCCTTCCTCCTTTCTCCATTCTCCATTTCATCTTCCATTCACCCATTGACGACGATGTAAACCACCGGCGGTCCAAACCTGTTGCAAAGTCATATCCTTTGCAAGTTTAGTATTTCTTCCATAAACTAATATTTGTTCCAATTTTTGCACATTTGGGACCTGTGAGCTCTTCAGAAGATGTTTATAGTTGTTTGCATAACAACCTTGCATTCCGTAAATAATCACAAAACCTTCCCATGTCGAAAGTGTCGTCCCACAGCGCCGCTATGCAAAATTAGGCGTCGTCGTCAATGGGTTAGCCGGACTCAAACTTTCTCGTGGGTTCTGCCTGTTTCTAAGTCAAATTTGGCTCAGACTCTGACAAAGAAAGAGTACGGCCACTTATCAAGAGAATGACATCTTATATGTTCAACTAAGAAGCTTTACAGGCTTTCTTGCTAATTAATGAATAGGAGTCATATGTAATTTTGAAGCCACTCTGTAGCATTTAATTTTTTTGAAAGCGTTTCAGCTCAAGTTTTGATGGTTGATTTCAGTGTTGCGCAGTATATATCAATACTATAGTGTGCAAATGGCGAAACATAATAAAGTAATAAGGAAAACGGAAGTATAGAATAAGGTTTTCTATTTCTATTGCGGCAGAGAAGATCGAAAGATGTAATGAAGATATCAATCGATAGACAAAGCAAGCTCTTCAAGTGGCGTTTACAATCACAAAAGTTAGATACCTGTGAACTCTGGAAGAGGAGCTTAAAAAATTTGCATTCCAAATCGGGTTTTGTCCACAAACATCCTACATACAGTGACCGCCAAAAAGTTGCGGACAAGCCTCCCTCCCTTTTTCATCGCTCTTTTTCAGAAGGAAAACAAGGATAAAAAATGTAGTAATTGCATGAGTTGATAGAGCTCTTCAAGATCTACAATCTACACTTTGCGTTTTTCGAAAAACATGTATTTTAAAAATTTCAAAAAACTTTTTCTAAAAAAAGTCCGAAAACGGCCGCGTCACAATGTCGCGGACAATAATTCTTCGAACGCAAAAATTTTCTTTTGAGTCCTATTCTGAAGCGGAAACACAAGTAATCCAAACGGGTAAGCATACTATTATACAGAGCTCGTCAAAAACTACACACTGGCTATGGCTGCTTCCCAAAAAAAAACACAAGCTTAAGTTTTATTTTGTTTTTTTAATAACTTCTAATTCTCCTTCTTAAGCCGAATCCATGCATCTGACGTGTGCTGATGAGTTCCTTTGCTGAAAATGATTCTTGGCAGTGCTTGCACATGACCCCACCTGCACCTCACCACTGACTTGTACCATTTTGCAGGCTTGTAACTCGGCTTGTAGTCAATGTGTGAGCCTGCAATTAGGCTCATAAGAACGAGACTTCCTTTACACGATGGTATGCAAAAGAGATGGGTATAAGAAACAGCGGAGATTTGGCGGATGGGGTGGAAAGACGCGGCCTCGGTGATGGTTGGAGTGAAGGCTCTTATCAACACCAAAGCAGTTCTAGAGCTTCAAAATGGATCTATTACAAGAACATTGACAGTTTTAGGCTTGCAGGATTGAACTGATAGCGAAAGAAGCTCTATTCAACTTTAGCTGGATATCCTACCACTGAGGCCGCGTTTTTCCACCCCATTCGCCAAATCTCCGCTGTTCCTTTTACCCATCTATTTTGCATACCATCGTGTAGTGGAAGTCTCGTTCTTTCGAATGAGCCTAATTGCAGGCTCACACATTGACTATAAGCCGAGTTACAAGTCTGCGAAGCGGTACAAGTCAGTGGTGAGGTGCAAGAGGGGTCATGTGCAAGCACTGCCAAGAACCATTTTCAGCAAAGAAACTCATCAGCACACGTCAGATGCATGGAGAATGGTAAAGAGCATCTACTTTATCCGAACAGCGTTGTTGGAATGTCGTGAATAGGTTTCCATTGAAGAAATTTGGCTTAAAAAGGAGAATTAGAAGTTATTTTTGAAAAAAGAGCAGAATAAAACTTAAGCTTGTGTTTTTTTGGGAAGCACCCATAGCCAGTGTGTAGTTCTTGACGAGCTCTGTATAATAGTATGCTTACCCGTTTGAATTACTTGTGTTTCCGCTTCAGAATAGGACTCAAAAGAAAATTTTTGCTTTCGAAGAATTATTGTCCGCGACATTGTGACGCGGCCATTTTCGGACTTTTTTTTAGAAAAAGTTTTTTGAAATTTTTAAAATACATGTTTTTCGAAAAACGCAAAGTGTAGATTGTAGATCTTGAAGAGCTCTATCAACTTATGCAATCACTATATTTTTTTATCCTTATTTTCCTTCTGAAAAAGAGCGATAAAGGGAGGGAGGCTTGTCCGCAACCTTTTGGCGGCCACTGTATATTTAAGCTTGATAGTAGCATAGTACTCCTGTTACTTGAGTCCAATTCAGCCAAGCCGCGTTCGTGTTGGCACGAGCATCGGTGATCGTTTCGCAATACGCTACATGTGAGCCTAAGTTTTTGAAAAGTGCCTTCCTTCAGTGACTATCCGTTGATGCTGATTGTTTCGTCAGTTTGCCTCCGCAATTCAGATACTCAGTCTTTCCGACATTCAATCGCAAGCCATTGACGGCTATCGTTTATTCCACCTCATGGTTGCCTTTTTCAGCTCACCATACGCTCGTACAAAGAAGCGCTGTATTCGAGTTTAAACTAAAAGCTTCTGAATTACCATAGTGAATTTTCAGCCTCTTCTACGCGCGATGCTTTTGCAAAAATGCAGATGCAAGGCACAAAAAGAAAAAGAGGACATTTCGTTTCAAGTTTCACAAAAATGCAAAAAATACCAAGTGCAAATGTATGGCGTACATGATGTGGATGGCATATGCCTGGTGAAGTTGGAGCGCATGATATTTTCAGACAGACTTATGATGTCTTGTACTTAAAATTGGTCTTCTTCTAAGCTTTACATATTGAACCTATTACAAGTGTTGGAATGCCATTCTTGCTTGCTTTGTCTTTCGAACAACATTTTCTGTACGTTCTTCATTTTCACTGCTTTGGCAGAGAAAGCAACGCTCATTATATTTGCACCAGCCTAGTAGAAACGACGCATACACTTCAGAAGTTTTCAAAGGAGCAGGAAGTACACAAGCCTTATAGAATCAACCTTAACGATCGAACTATTTCGCAAACTTGCCCAGGTTCACAAAAGGCACCTTAGAATGACAAACGCTTCACAATTTTTTTAGAAGCATTTAATGCAGGTTATTCGACCATAGCTTTATTTTGAAAAATACGTTTCCAGCTTTCTGGGTTTCTTTTCAGACAACAAAAACAGATTTATCGTTACTGTAAAAAGCTTCTTCCGGTTCTTTCATCTCGTTACAGCCAGCTGCAGTTACTAAATGACTTTCACTGGAAAAGTCAAAAAGATATTCAGAAACTAATGTGCCAGGAGAAAATTTTTGGGAGACTTAAAGCCAGAGAGATTCCGCACACAAAAGATATAGACCCCCTACTTTAGTCTATGTATCATCGAATCATGAAATTTCTGAGGCAATTTTATAGCCTTCCCCCCCCCCCCATCACTGTGTTCGATCACCCCAAATTATCCTCCACCAATCATGACAAATTACTCTATTTATTAGGCAGTTGAATATGGACGTCCGCCGTTGTGTCCAATGACTATACTCTATTTTTTAGGCAATTATATTTACACGTCCGCCTTTGTGTCCAATGATTATAAATTGCGACTCCTGGGCACGGTTTTATAAAAAAACCCAATACGTACGGTTTCAATTCTCTGATGGCACAGACCTTCACGGTGAGTCGCATATGACATATCATGACATAGTAGATATAAAATCGAGCTAGTGGGGACAGCTAAAAGTCAGAGTGGGAATCAGTTACATCGGCCAGGGCATATAACGGTGCTTGCTTAACTATGCTTTAGTATATCAACTAAAAATAACTGCATTTTTTACTAACTGTTATGTTGGCACCCGAAAGGCCTTTTGTATAGAACTAATTTTGACTCGGCAAAAGGCAGCGTAGTGATATGAGGCGCCGCTATGATCAGAGAATGAATGAATTGGTACCAGTGTAATCTGGGAGGATAAAAAACACTGACTTGGTAATCGGCTAGCCTCCGCAAGCACTGCGTAGGCTCTAACGCATTCAAATTCTTCTTCGACTTTGAAGTAAAGTGCGTTCAACGCATCCCCACAGAAAATATGAAAACACCAAATTTTGTCATCTATTTTTTACTTCTAACACGGCCTTCTGCTGACCTTTCAAGTGCCAACATCGACCTGATAAAAAGGATCTTTTTTGTCTAAGACAGCAAGGATTTTGAAAACATCATCATATATATTTTTCACAAAACATCACAAAAGCGAATCAGGCATGACCTAATATCTGTCATCGAGACAAAGAGTGAAATTAAAGGCACCGTCCCCCAGCCTCTCGACTTCATGGGTTTTGGTCGTTTCGGATCTTTTCATGTCCCTGATTCCGAAGATGAAGTCGAGAATGCCGATAAAACCCCGACACCTCATTTCGAAAAACCCGCAGGACTGTCTTCAAAACGGTGATTGGATGGGCGCGCAGGAATGGGCGAGCACTATTGGAGGGCATACCGAAGCGAATTTCTCGTTTCCGATGCTACATTCTGCACCGCTACTTAGCATTGGTTCGATAGGAAGTCTTACTGTCCTAAGCTGCCACAAGCTCAAAACTCCTAACTTAGGGTGGACGGTGCCTTTAAAGTGAAGTTGTTATGGTTCAGCAGTGAAACGCAGAACCTTACAATGAATACACATTATAAGTGTACGCTGTTGTGGAGGTTTGCTTGGTTTTTGACATTCAAACAATTATAGATCCATAGAATGTTGCTTTTTGTTGCCGCATTCGCAAGACTAACGTGCTACTACTAACATAAACGCAACTAATATTACTGAGCAGATGAGGCCATTTATTCGTGGCAATCTGGCTGATTTCATGTCATGGGTTTCCTAACAAAAGCACAAACACCGCTTCATTTCAAATCATTTTGAGTTGGGTAGACTTTGACATTTTTCAAAAAATCAGAAACTTGCAGTGTTGCTGTTTGATGCACAAATCACAGCTTCACAGGAAGCTCAAACACGAATTCAGCACATTCAAAACTGATCACATGAATTCCATGATCTGTTTTCGAAGAAATCAGATCATCATCAACTTGACTGAAGTCAAAACTTGAGTGATCTTTTCTTGTATTCATACTCTCAACTCTCTGTACCTGCGTCGAAACTTTCATAGTTGATGCTGCATAAGGTTTTTTCTCTATTCGATGCAGTTGAACTTATGTACCAAACTAATCCTGCAATTTCATGCCAGGAATCAGCAAAAAAAACACTATTCCATTTTGTTGTAAGCCAAAGTGGTCAAATGCTGTTTTCAAAAAATCTGGGTTTATCCATTTTTGAATTTGGAAAAAAAAGTTTTGAAAGCGGAAAAGATAAGCAAAGTCACCAAAATTCTGCAAGCTTACCCGACTTGGTGCTTATTTTCCGTTCGGGAATTCATACTGTTTTTTAACGAGAAGTTACACTTGCTTAATATAGTCTTCGAGGAAGTTTGCATCACCTGGGTTACCATCATTCCGAAAATCGTTTTTTTAAGTTTGCATATATGTTTTACTTATTTTCGCAGCTTTGTAATGACAAAGATCAGTGCGTTTTCAGTAGAACTTGATAGCATTCACCAGAGTGATATCCAGTGCATCAATGGTCAATGGCTTTATGTGGTTATTGGCAGTCCGGCGTACTATAAAACACTGCGTCATCTCGTCTGCTACATCGCAAAGCGCACATGATGCCTTGGCAATTTATGAAGGAGATCATATAAACAGATCACTGATTCCAATTTTTGGCTTCTTTATCATACTATAGTAATGCTCTTTGTGTATGCATAAAAGATGGTCAGCGGTGTTCTGCACAGATCTCGAAAGAAGAATGCAGATTTCAACAGACCAGTTACTCATGTTTACTTTGAGTTTGCATAAATTGTTCTTCACCAGCTAGAAAATGGCATTTTGCTTTCTAATTTGATCTCATTGTAGAGAGCAAAAATTCCGCAAATGCACTGCGTTTGATTTTCATGCGACATAAAGGGACCAATGACTGGTCACATGCTGAAGATTTATAGGTTTAAAATTTTTCTCAATTATATCTAGAATAAGTATTTTGTAGCGTAGATCTCCAACTAACATTGTGTGATTCCAAATGTGATATCTCTTCTGACTGTGGTTTTTACAGCCGGAGCAGAATCGAAGCTTTTCACATTTGTTTTACTGTCCTTCATGATACGGAACCCAGAACTGACATTGTCATCGAAAGCGAAAGTGTACAGTGTAAGAAGAAAAACAACAAACAAGAACTTTCGAAACAACTCATTACGTTTTTGAATATATATTCCTACTCGTGCGTTTATTCGCTTCTCGAGCAACGACTGTGTAAAAGCTGTTCCAGTGCTGCTGCATCATTTTTAAAAGTTTAAACATAGCAACTTGCTTGTTACTGCGCTGGTTTGCTGCGCGATTGTGGCAACAGCCTTATTTCTTTTCGTGCTTCAGATTCATCCAACATTTTGCATTCGAAATTTTGATGAGCAGTAACAGCTTTTTTTAGGAGTTCATTATGTGAATTCAGTAAAATTTTAGTTTGAAGATAGAAAATGATGAGCTTAGTGAGCTAGCAAAATTATCAATGAACTGTTCAAAAGTTTGTGGGAAACAGCTGACTACAAATAAAAACTTTAACCTTTTTCTATGATTTGATTCACTTATGCTACCGATACCACTAATCAAAGGAAGGATAGGTATTCTAACTCCAAATCTGGGCTCATTCGCTTGTCCGTTCTGCTGAACAACTCTCCGATTAGAATTTATGAGCGTTTGAACGTCCAGTTCTGTCAAGCTTTAATTGACATAAAATTAGAGAAAAGCTCTGGCAAAAAAATCTATCAACTCATTTCATACTGGTTGTGTTCCTTCCTTTTTACTACACTTGATACAAAATTGATTACCGACTTTCAGGTGCTTTTATAGAACTGTTGCTAGTTTTATTTCACTAAAATTTTTACAAAATTAGGCATTCAAACGGTCTTAGTAGTGTCTGGGCAAGAAGCGATTTTGAGATTTTGTGCTTACTTGGGCTCATTCGCCAGGCTGAAACTGACAATCCACGAGTCACGAGTTCACACTCGGCCGTTGGCGATGTTAGGGCGGCTAGCAAAAGCGGAAGGGTCCTTGCTGAAGATGTAAAAGTTAGAGTGAAAGGCCCCGCTCATCTGCTTGTATTAGCCCTTTTTCGCTATTTTCAAGAGTGTGGATTTTCGGATTAAGCATAGCGAACAGGCACAGGTTGCAAAAATTTTTGAAACGACTTTGCCCGGACACTGCCTTCAAATTCTTTGGGAGAAAAAAAAGGAGACCATATTGCAATCAAGTTCCAAGACGCGCCTAGAGATATACTCGTCATCAGTCGCCAACTCGGGGCCGCATGCATTAACGTCCTCGCCGGGGAGGGGAATCGCAGCTTAAAAATAAGCTTCATCCGGAACCTCCAGATATTTGGACTTCACGTTGTCTACCTATCCATAAGTAATCCTATCAATAATCACTATGATTTTGAAACAAAAGCGAGAAGCTGTACAAGCCGCATTTTTCAACTTTTCATATGATCCTCTGATGATCCCTGCGCCGACCGCCTTTTTCTAAACGTCATTATTCTTTTTTCGAAATTAAGAAAACCTTTCAAAGTTGTACTGATTATCTAACGTAGCAGTGCTAAATATGAATATTGTTGATCAGAACAAATAAGATTTTGAAAAATCGAATTTTTTGATAAACCCAACTTTCGATTTGTGGTCTGTCGCAAATTTCATGAATTCTATACATCATTTGTTCTTGTCAGCATAGATAATGTACAACTCTGGAAGCTTTTCGTTAACTTCGAGGAATAAAAAATGATTTTGAAGAAAAAACGGTCGGCCGCGGGATATCATCAGGGGATCATACGAAAGCTGGAAAAATCCGCTTGTTCAGCTTCTCGGTCCTGTTCAATATGTTCATAGTGAAGGTTGGTAGGATTGTTTGTGGGTAGGTAGACAGCTCGAATTTTAGAAGTTCCAAGCTTCAGGATATGAAGCTTTTCTTAAACTGTGATCCCCTCTTCAAAGGGGATGTTAATGCATACGGGCTTGAATGTCCAATGATCATCATCATTCTTTGCTCTTCAATAGGACGTTGCGTGCTGATGTTGATCAGTAAACTGTCTAACTTATACTCCAAATATAAACAAAGACCATTAAACTTGCATAAACTCTTTTCAAAGCAAGAGTGATTACAGAAAGAAAAAGTTAGATACAATTAAAGTGTCCCAAAAGAAGATTATCAAACTAAAATAATTGCTGCCTTCACTAGTCCTATTATTTGTGTGAGTTGTGTCAACACCTAAAACTGTAGCCAGACCAATTTTTGGACCTTTTGCAAAAAAATGAGAGTGACGATGAAATGTTGTTATACCAATGATTTGTGAAAATGCCAAAGATTTGTTGTTTTCAATCATACAAATAAAAACGTTCTGAATATGATTACTGAGTAGTCTTGATCAAGTTTAGATTATGGTATAAAAGTGTTTGCCGTTGAGCTGTCGTCAAAAGTTACATAAACGAAGACAATTTAAATTAAGAAAGGTCCTGTTCAATCATTCTTCTTCTTTACTTGTATGATTACAACAGAAGGAGCAAAGATCGCTGCTGTTCACCTGTTTTCGTTTCTCCAAATTCTATCGTTAAACCTTTTAAGTAGAGTATCAAGGATATTTCAATTAATTTTTCACTTTTTTCGTAAGCGCTGTACTCCCAAGAATCAAAGGTATGAGAAGCGGTTTACGATTGCAACTTCGTTACTTAGTTCGCAAAGATAAGATGACTTTATTAATAACTACAATTTTTATCAGCGCAGGCTCTTAGGCTTTGAAAAAGTCTTCGAATTATGCCCTCCTACTCGGCTACAATCTGGACAATAAGTAGTTTTGCTTTCCTATACGTACGGCATTAAAACCTTCATTTTCGCCTGCAGTTCTTTGGGGAGCGTTTGATTTGCGGCAAATGCTTATATTATTGGAAAAGGCTGATCAAGCTGCGATTACTTAGCTTTCAAAGAGGCAACTCTCAGAAGGCAAAAAGACCTATTCTAGGCGTATGATAATTCTTGCGGTAGTGCAGGCGTTCTCTGCCCAGTTTCTTAGCATTTATGAAAAACAGCGTTTGCTTGTAAGTTCAAGTGTCTCTGAACATGACTTCTTAAAAGAGTGCAGAACTTTCTGCACTGAAAATTGCTGAAAGGGAAGAAGACGGTCGACGTACCGTATGCAACCTAAGTGTACCTTCTAAGCCGTCTAAACGAGCCATGCCGCAGAACTCAATAAACAAATATAGTGAGAGTTTTTCTGCTGACAATGACGCCATACGGCAAACGTTGCCAAAACTGTCATGCAAAATTTTACTGGGAGATATCTCATTGCCCGACGTGTTTTCCAAATCTTGCTTTACCAAGTTCTGCTGTAAAGCAACCTCATGAGGGCTGTGTGTCTCGACTTCAGATAATAATTTGAGCGTCGATCAAATGGTTTTCGTGGGCCCGGAGGGGTGCCGTTTGAGAAACTGAAATTGCAAAGCTCACAAAAATGTGGAAAAAAGCTTATATGCCGTCGAGGATTCTATTATCATGCGATCTACAGTAAAAATTCATGACTTTGTTGGTTTTAAAAAACGCTACGCCATTCGAATATATAAACAGCAGCACATAGCATATCAAACCAGAAAAAATAGTTATTCATATAACAGTTGCTAGCTTTGACCGACAATGGGCATGCTCAGGTCTATTCAATAGTATTTTCTCTGAAATTACTTTGATAAAAATATTTCGATTGAAATTGCCCTACTGAAAGCAATGACCCAGCCTTCCAGGAAAGGTGGCTTCTAGGGGAAATGTAAATTTTCATCTGAACCAAAATGCATAGTTTTTCATGTGGCTAGTTCATAATTAAAAGAAAACCTTAATTTGTTAGAGAACTAGCTTACAGCACTTGTATTAGTGACTCTTTTTTTATTGCTGATTTCAGTTTTCAGCAATCCAGCTCAAAATGATGGCAACTCAAGTGTTTTTTTTTCAAATTTTTTTTGTTATCCTGTAAACTATTTACTGAAAATTACATGAGCATCACAAAGCACATTATTTTTAGTATAATATCATCTGAGCTTATGCGAATGCTTATACAGATACATTTTATAATTCTTTGAAAATGATGCTGCATCATCTACTGTTTGTTTGCTGTAACTTCAGAAAGAAGGTGTTACATTTGCAAGAAATCCTGACAAAATCAACATCAAAATTTTGCTGCCTTATTTGGCTGCGAGTACTCCGATATTGGGAAACTGAATTTTTGAGTTTTGTGTCGCCTACCCGTAACCACGACTTCTGTTCTCAGCGTATTTGATCAATATTCAACTCATTTTTGATTTAATTAAATACTTAAATTGAACACAAACGTCAATAGTCATGCCGTCCTGCTCCTAGATGAACATATTGATGTTTAGAGCAGAGAAAGGATTTAAATTCATTATCTAAGTGGCAAAACAAGCGGCAGTGGGGTACCCAACCGTATGGAATTTTTTCTTGTTAAATTGCTTACCCTTTGGCTCAGCGGGATTGGCTGCTAGAATGCGGAGCTTTGAGGCCTAACAAAGGCTAAAGAATGATCAGAGAGCACGCTCGTAAGAAAGACACAGACTACGTCGCCAGTGCGGGCTGTCGCCTTCCAGCCGCCAATCCATTTGAGTCAAAGGGTGGCGGAGACAATTTTAAAAAAGAGAATTTTTTAAATTATTGCCCGAAGAGATGTTCTCTCAGACACTTT